TTCTTTTTCATTATTGACATTGATATTTGTTTCTTTTGTTAGAATAAGTAAAAAAAAAACAAAAAATTATTAATTAAGTTAATTAGATAATACTTTTTAGACTATATTCAATATTGAATTAATTCTTATTAATGGAATAATAATAAGAATGACAGATCAATTAAATATTTAATTTTTATAAGACAAATTAAAAACTTTTCCTTCTTTATAATATTTTAAAATTTCACAACAACTTTCAAGTAATAACAAACAAATACCTCTTATTCTTTGATTTTCAGGAAAAACATTTTCGTCTTTATTAAGCCGAGAAATAAATAGTTCAGCTTTTTCATTTTCAAACAATTTTTTATTTGTTTGTTCTTTTTTAGTTAATTCAATATGTAATTCAGATAATAATCTTTGTCTAATATCAATAAGTTGAGCCCATAAAATATAGTCATGAGCAACACGTGCATCATATTCTTCTTTATCTTTTTTACTTGGAACAAATTGAGAAGAAATCCAAGCATATCTAATTGTAATAGCAAATTGATTATAAAATTGAGTTAAAGCAGAAGATAATTGATTTCCATTATCTGAATAAATTAATTGACTTGAAGATTGGTTTACCTTTTTGATTAAAGTTTTTTTACTTAAAGAAGAATAGTCAATTTTTTCACTATCTGGACATAATGAAGGTAAATTATGAATATTAATTTTATTTATCATTTTGGTAATAACTGGTTTCATTAATGGTATTTTAATAACAGGATCATCAAGAATAATTCTATCAAAACTAATACCATTATTAACATAAAATGCATAAGTATTTAACCAATTCTTTTGATAAATATCTACTAAAAAATCAGGTATAAATGGATTAAATAATTTTAATTTAGAAAAATTAAAAGGTGAAATACGAATAACATCACCATTTAATTGTGGTCCTTTTTCACTAAAGAATACATTATCATTAGTTACAGTAATATAATTTTTTACATTACCAATTAACATAATTCTCGAAACATCATAAGCGTTTCTAATATAAGGTTTAACAAATTCAATATCAATAAATAACAAAAAATAAGCAGTAATATATTTTTCATCACAATCAATAAAATCCATTTCAATATTATTTTCTTCTAATAAATAAATATAATTTAAATAATAATAAATATCAAATTCTACTTTATATGGAACATACTTTATTTCTTCTGATTTTTTAATAACAGAACATTCTTCAGTATGTTTCTTTCTTTCAGATTCATCACTAATAAAATCATATTGACTAAAAATTAATTGTTTCATGAATAAATCTAATCTTCTTCCTAATACTGGGTCAAATGAAAATAGTCTCATAGAATTCATTACCCACATCACTTTCCCTTCTTTCATTTCTTTTGTACTCTTTAATTCATTTCTTAAATTTCTAAGAAATAAATCAATAATATCAAATTCGTACATCATATTAATAAATTCTTTTTTATAATCTTTATTTCTTGTATATAATTCAAGTAATGTTTCTTGTTTTTCTGGTTGTTTTATTTTTTTATTTCTAAAAGTTTCTTGTTGATGAGTAACAATTAATAATCTACAACGTAATAAAAATGCCATACAACGTATTAATAAAGGAGCATAAGTAACTCTATTTTTACTTCCGATTCCTAATTGATTAGTTCCAATAACAATATTTTTACTATCAGTTTTTCTAAGAGAACTGTCTAATCTATTTTTTATTGAATCACATATTTTTGTTTTTGGGTCTACTTCTTTCATATTTAAAATTAAAGCATTAAAGTAAATATGAGTTATATTAAATAATTTAGTTTGTAATAATAAATATAATGATGTCATTTCAGTACAACTAAAATCAAGTTTTGGTGTAAAACTAAATAAACTTTCTGAAAATGTATTTTGAATAGTACTTTCGTCAATAATACATTTATATAATTCATAATAATTATCAGAAGAAAATCTATTTTCTAAAATATTTGATAAAGAATTTAAAGAGAAAACAAATTCAGAATAATATTTTCTGAGTTGAGATTCTTTTCCTTTAAATTGTTTTATAATTTTGTCTTTAATATCAATTAAATGATTAATAGCGAATATTGAATCAATATTTATTTCATGTGGACTAATATGAACAGTATTTCCATTCAAACAAAATAAAAATTTATTAATTAATTCATTAACCATTGAAATAGGATAATTATAATTATATGTTGCCATAAAAAAACAATTTCTTGCTGGTGGTGTTTGAGACAATAATGTTGTTTTAGTTTCTAATTGTGCAATAAGAGTAATTAATGAACTTGATAATACTAAATCATTTGAATATAATCTAACAGCAAATTCACATAATACTCCAAATGCATTTTTACCTGAACCAGTTATTTGATAAAATCTACTAAAATCTTCTGTTTGTGAATCATTATTTTTTTCTTCAACAACACATTGTGCTAAGAATAAATATGCTGACCTAGAAATTGATGGTGATTCAAATATTTCTGTTAAATATTCTGTAATTCTTAATCCTTCAGCTAATCTACCTGAATTTAAACAATCTAACAATTCTATAATTAGTTGTGATGTTGCAATTTCTACTTGAGAATATTTACATCTAGACTCTGTTGTAACAACTTTCATATGTCTTGGACATGAATTTTTTTTATGAATACAAGTTTCATGTTTACATTCTTTTATTTTACATTGACAACGTCCACAATTACAAAGACAATCTAATCGGGTTTTTCCTTTTGAATGTTTTTTATGTCCTTTCAGATTTTTATTACATTCCTCACAAAAATAATATGTCTCATTTGAATCACAATCACAAATATAATAACATAGCCCTAAATATTTATTACATACAGATGATTGTTCATGTAACAATTCTTCTTTTTGTTGAATATTTTCTCCAAATACTAACGTATCAAATTGATGAGAAAATTGGGTTGGTTTCATTACAGAATCAATAATATTAATTAATAGATAATTGTCATCTGATGAAAGTGGTTTTCCTGCTTTTTTCTTTTCATAAATCATTTGAAGTATATTAAAATCTGGTTCTGTCATTTTTATTAAATAAAACACTAATAAATATTTTAGTTCTAACCAACGTCTTTCTTTTTTTCTTTTATAAAATTGTTTTATCTTAAATAACAATTCTTTATTTATTCTAATTAAAATATTTTAAAATAAAAAACAAAATATATCTTACTTTTAATTCTCATTAACTAAATGTGTTATTTATTGAAGAAGTGGTTTTAACTCACCTCCTTCATTCATATCAACACAATCATCTAAAGTACCAATGTACTTTTCTCCTTTAAATAAAATTGGCCAAACACCAAATTTACCTGTTTTCTCTTTAATCATTTCTTTCATTTCTGGTGTTCCATCAACATCAATGTAAATAATTTTTGGTTGAACCCTTGTAAGAGCAAAAACAAGACTAGTCATTTGAGTTGTTTTATGTTGAATAAAATTTCCACCAGAACCAGAAGTAAAGATAGTAATATCAGTCATTAATCAATGAATTAAAACTTTTAAGTTCAACTCTAAAATTCTCTAAAAAAAGATAATAAAAATATAAATTTGAGATATAATCTATTCAAATGTCATCACTCATTGAGATTCTTCTTGACATTTCTTTTAATTTTTGAATCTTATTTTGAAGATCAGGACAACTTATTTCTAGTTGTTCAATTAATACTTGTCCACCATTTTCATCAAATTCTTCTATTGGATAAAATTCATAATCTTCATTAATAGGAATATTTGTTTGATACTTAAATGTTAGTTTAGAAAGAAAGGTATTACAAAAAATAGTTAAAAAAGGAAAAACCACAAACGAAACAAAAAGTAATAAGAATGTCAAGTATTTGTTCTAAACATTCTAAATTAGAACTAATTCCTTTTCTAGAAGTACATTGAATAAGAAGTGAAACAATTTTATAATCATTAATAATTGTTATAAGTTGTTGATTTTCAATGAAAGTAGTAATTAGAGAATGTAAAATTTGAATTGATGAAATAACATTATCAATAAGAATATTTTGAAGTTCATTTACAATTAAATATAATGCTTTTTGATGAGAAAGAAGAAATGAAAGTACAGATTGTTGAGTATTAATATTTTCTATAAAATAAATAATAAATGATAATTTTAAAGGAATAGTAGTAACATTTGTAAAAGGTAATGACTCAATTGTTAAAGAAAGAAGATCAATAAAATTATTTATTAATTGAGGGATTTGTTGAAATGAATTAATAATTAAATTAAGAATAATACTTTGAGAATTATCATATTTTTTTTTTAATAACATTTTACATAAAATAATAGTATTAGGACTTTCCCAAATCATTTGAGTTATTTCTTTTCCATATGAAATAAATTTATATAAACTAAAAAGTAATTCTTTATAATTATCTAATTCAATAATTGAAGAAAAATTTAGTAATACTAAAACAATTTGTTTTACTATTTCAATTTTTAATAAATAAGTTTCAGGTTGAATATGAATAAGAACATGTGCAAATGATGATAAAATTTGTAATTCATGTGATGATTCTAATAATATTTGACAATTATTTAAAAATTTTGGTAAAAATATTTCTAAATCAATACATTGTCTATATTTATCACCTGAAAGTATTATATTTCCAAATCCAATTGCTGCTGATTGAAATAAATTTGAAAATTTAAGTTGATAAGGTTTTTCTAATATTGAACTAAAACAAATCATTACTCCTTTTTCAATTAATTTATCAACAAGTAATAAGTCATTTGTTGATGCTATTTGTGCTAATAATGTTATAGTTAAAGACCTAATACAAACATCATTTGAAGTAACAAAACTTATAAGAAAATCTATAATTGATGAATTTATAATTTCATTAAATGAATGATTAATAATAATAAGTTTTTTTAATTGTACTAATGATTGAAGTATAATAAAATTATTATTTGACTCAATTCCTTTCTTAATAAGAGGTAAATCTTTAAGTGTTATTTCTCTATTACTATCAATCAATTCTTCTTCTATTAAAACTCTTTTTCTTTGAAGAAATTCTTCTCTTGTTTGAGTTCTTAATGAAGAATGAATTTGGCGACGAAGTTCAAAAGGGTTAGGTTCTTTTCTAAAAGACATTATTCTAAATTTCTCTGATTCTTTTTAATAGAAAAAAATCCAGAAAAGAATAAAACCAAAAATCATTTTGATATTCTTTGTTTAAAAATTGTTCTTTATCTTTTGCTATAATATTCTTTGAATTAGAATCACCCTTTATTCTTTATTAATAAAATAAATGATTTATCATTTTGGTGTATTAAAATTATCATTCATTACTTAATATCAAAATTCATTTTCTCCTTTCAAAAAAGAAAAATATATTATATATGTATTATTTAT